CTTGTGAGCAGAGTTTTGGGCCTTTGAGGCGCCGGACATGGCTTTAGAGGCCTTCGACGCCTTACCTGTTGGTATAGTTGTGTTAATTTCATGGTTTGGCGCCATATTAGAAGTGCCGGCATTTGAACCCGAATTACCGATAAGTGATATATTGCTTCCGCCGGCCATTAGTGAGGCCGACGTGCCGTCCACTATGTCTTCCTTCTCTTTCTTAATGTCCGACTTCGAGGACTCTTCCTTCTCCTTCTTGGAAGTGCTTAATTACCGATAAGTGATATATTGCTTCCGCCGGCCATTAGTGAGGCCGACGTGCCGTCCACTATGTCTTCCTTCTCTTTCTTAATGTCCGACTTCGAGGACTCTTCCTTCTCCTTCTTGGAAGTGCTTCGAGTCCTTCTCTTCTTCTTTTTAACCTTCTTTTTAGTGGTCACTTGTGCTAACATCGAGAGCTCGTGAGTCATTTTCTTCAACTGTTCCTCTAATATCTTCATCTTCTTCTTGCGCTCGTCTTCGTCTTCACTTTCACTCTCACTGCTGGATGAGGTGGGAGTGGAACTACCGCTGGAACTGCTGCCGGAACTGTCCGTATGGCCCGTAGTGTCTCCGTGCGGCGGCTCGTCCGGCATCTTCGCGAACTTCATTTCAAACACGTCCTAATATTCACCGCAAAAACAGTCAAATAATTCATTAAAAATGATTCGTAAAATAGTTTTGTCGCAAAAGCATGAAACAGACCACTCATTATATTCAGAGAGACTGCGATTAATAAAGCGTTTCTATTCCTCCGCTGATTGATTGGAATGACATTTAAGGAAATTCAATGCATTCCTGCCCAGTAGAGGCTCACTAACCCTATCCCCAGACAACACAACGCATACAATACCTGTAGTTTTCTGGCCATCGCAACCACTTCATGATCCGGAGGGTTATATTTGTAACAATTGGTAAATATTAAGCGCACGTCGGATGCAAACTCTTCGGGCTTTCGGTACTGTCTGTTCTCCATCTTTACCTATCATTTCAATCAACAAATCAATCAATTTGTGTCCAAAAAGGCAACTGAAGAAAGAGTGCATACTTTAGCGGTTCCCAAATCCATAGGGTTTTTAATAATCTCGTGGTAGTCATGGAGTTGTAGGAGCTCTGCGTCGACGGGCTTATAGAAAGGCCAGGCATAGCCCGCATGCTTTTTGGCGAACAACTCCTTCAATATCTGACTGCAATACTTCATCTGTTCAGACATTTTGCCCTTTT